AAAGAGTGCATGTGGAAAAGTGCAGCTGGGTTGCACTATGGAAATAAAGAGAAAATTGAGTGCCTGTTGCTGGGAATGGATATGAAAACTATACAGCTGGGCACTGACGGTTGCTGAAGGGCACGTGGAGTAGGCTTAAAGAGGTTCACTGTCTGACAAGTATGTTATCACCTGAATGAGGCTAGCTAAGGTAGGAGACTGTTTGAGGGAAATACATTCAGAAGACCAAACATGGGGGTTTGAAAGAAAAGGGGTTTTGGGGTGGTTGGGGGTTTTTTTTTGTATCTTCAGTATTGCCTCTCTGGCTACAGATCTCTGAATGCACACAGTAGACCATGCAACAAAGCTAATTTTTGGTGGATTGTTTGTGTGAAACCTTTATAAAATGACATGTCACCATTTGTGAGGCTTTAACATCCTTTACTTATCAAAGTCTTTAGCATTCTGATCGAGGCGTATTCTCTTTGACATCCGTCTGCACTGCTTTCATATTCCTTGATGTTACTTAAAGTATCTGAGGTAAAGAAACAGTTTTCTCAATTAACAGCCCATCTTTCATAAAGTGTTAAGTTCACAGGACCTTCCATTTAAGTGCACGGTTACAGCTCAGATCAGATGTTTAGGCAACCTGTGTTGCACAAAATATTTCGTCTCTGTCTTCAAGAGGATTCTGTTTGAAGGTTTCCCAAGTACGAATTTTCACAAATTTGGGATAAGAGGTTTTAGACATTCTTATTTATAATATTTAAAATGAAACACTTCCTTTAGCCTTCAGCTTTCTTAAGAGGATACATCCAACATTTCCTTTTTGCCAGTACTAAATTGGACGATGTCTTTTCTTCACTGTGCTCCAAAAAGTATTTTTATATATGTTTTTAGAAGGAAATCCAGTTTCTTGCTTGTAGCTGTTGGCATTTTAGAGCCCTGGAGTGAACCAGTAAAAACACATGTTCTTTTAAAGAACATCTATTTTTACTGGATCTTGCTAACAACCAATGACACAGAATTAAAAAAAATGTTGGCTCGGTTGAATAGAAGGGCTGCATTGTTTTAAATTCTATTTTTAAAACTTTTCTTTATAGCAAGATTACACAGAAATTTCACATGCTCTTGGTCTTGTGAAAAAGCATGCTTGCTTTTAGAATGCTATTTTAGTGTTTTAAAAGTAGTTTAGGTATCAAAGTCTTGTAGAGTGTAAAATTTTAGTACGACGTACACGATGTTGCCATTTAAGAGTATTATTATAATACTTTGTTTAGGTGTTTAGATCATGTATGCTAGACAAAAAAAAGCTGATAAGAGAAAAAAAACTGCATAATCTAGGTTTAGTTCTTGGATAGCTTTATTAGCACTTAGCACCTTCATGTCTTCAGGCACTTAATTTTCATCCTGGATGTGGAAAAAGAATTACAGCTGTGATTGTGTGTGAGATAAACATAGACGTTAAATGTCTCAAGTCTGTAAAAATATTTGCAATCAAATATATCTTAACGTTTTTTTCTGTTTTTCCCTATTTTATGGGAAAGTGTCTTTTTTTCCTTGCAATAAAAATGAAACTGTGCATTAAGGAACTTTACAACAGACACTGAGAGAATGCACTAGGCCAGAGAGATTTGCTGCCTTTAAAATAAGTAATCCTATTAGAAATGAGCCTGGATTTCAAACAGAAGTAATGAAATACAACAACAGATACATGAATTTAATATTTTTAGTAGTACTGTTGGATACCTACAATTATTTAAAACATTCAAATATAAGATTGAATCATTCTGGTTTTTATACTATTCTGGATACCTAAGGTGCAGTACGTTGTTAAGGACTTGTTTTGTGTTTAAGAAGTGTACATTTTTAAAATTTTTTAAAAATTCTGTCTCAAGATACTTTAGTACTCCTTATTTTACTTAGACTTCTGTTGTTATTTCTGCAGTAGTGAAAGCATCAAACAAAAGCAAGTTGCAATCCCAGACCAGTACTAGAGCTCTGTTTCACAGTTTTTCTTTTTTTAGAGTTGACATGAGCCATGCTTCATTGTCCCACATACTGAATTGCTCAGGAATAGGTTGTATACATGTGGTGGGAAGCCTAGTTCTGTGTCAGTAAGGTAGCACAAGAGACTGGTGTTTCCAGGTCTTTCATTTGAGACAGCAGTGCTTACATGGGCATTATATCACGATTTTCATTCCTTTCTTACTAGTGTTTTCAGAAAGTATTTATTAAAGTACTTTTTATCAATTGTCTTTTGTTCCAACAGAGTCTATCAGCTTTGGCTTTTGGTGGTGATATACAAACTACTTGCTTGTAATATACTGTTCCTGTTAATACTGTGTTTTTCCCTATTCTAATGGTTGTTCCCCTATGTCTTCCTGGTGTTTCATCTGGTTTGCTTTGCCTCTTTTTTCTTTTTTTTTTAACAGGTTTTTTTTTTTTCTAAGACAATGAACTGTCTGCTGACAGCTAATTACTCTTTCAAACCAAGGTAACTGGGCAAGACCTCTTACAGTTACCATAAAAAACAGTGAAATATAATTTAGCTCACAATTTGCAGATCTTTAATCTTTAAAATAGATGTTCAGCTGACAGTAGTAAGTACATGTGTGTATGCACACAGTAGCAAACATTAAATTTTTCATTTTTTGTTATTAAGTTAAATATTTAAACAAAACAATCTTAAAACTTCATTTCTTTCAAGATATGGTGTGTGTTTGGGAGTTAGAGTAATCTCTTCGCATGAAAAATGCAAGTAGAAAAATTACGTATATATTTTCAAATAAAAGCCTTGGTCCTGGATTTGGGAGGCAGGTCTTTCGTTTGCTTGCTTTTCTAAAAGCATGTATTGCTTCCTTTGTAATACACTTACTTAATACATAAAAGCCAAAATCTAGCCTTATATTGACGTAAATAGGAGCAGAAATTCAACCTGACATTTTTAAGACTTTTTAAAATATTCTGCAAAATGCTTTATCTGATACTAAACTTAGGGGGTTTTGGCATATAATTGAACCAGGAAGAAACTGAATAATGATGCACATTTGAAAAACATAGCTCTAGTACTGGTCTGGGATTGCAACTTGCTTTTGTTTGATGCTTTCACTATGCAGAAATGGTGATGGGGTTATTTATGTTAATTCATTTGGCTTGTTGAAAAAAATATGCCCACACTTCTCTACTTAATGGGATTCTTTCCTCGTTGCAGTGCAAACGGCTGGAGCAGGAGCTTCATCATCTGAAAGAGCAGAACCAGACTTCAGCAAACAACACGAGACATCTGACTGCTGAAAACAATCAGGAACGTGCTCTGAAGGTAAATCTCCATTTCTTCTTGCAGGCAAATTAAGGTTGTAAGCCCCTGGTGCCAGCTTTCTGGGCTGCATATATCAGTTGTGTACATTTCAGCAGAAGTGAGCTATGGTGTTTGCCAACAACCCCTTCTTTAAACACAGATACAGCACCCTTCTGTTATGGTTTTATTTTATTTTGTATATGAAAACAACAAGAAAAAAAACAACATATCCTCCAAATTATTGGGCTGGTAATTAATGCTAAATTCTTGAGGTCTGTTGTTGCAATATTACATTTTATAACGTGAAGAAAATTGCAACTATTTTCCTCGTGGTACCTTTGCAAAACTAATATTTTAAAGCATGGCTGTTTGATCTGCTCCCAGCAGTGTGTGCTATATTAATAACATTGTTGACCTATACTACTAGTGACCACATAGTTGATACTACTATTTGCAAAAGGGTAGCTAGTTGGAATTGGGAGGAGAAATAATAAGTCTTGTCAATAAGAATAAAAATGAGCAGAGAGGCGGGAGAGGGTCAGAGAAAGGACAGTTTAAAGTGACAGGTTATTGCTGCTTTGAGAAAGGGAAACTGTGGCGTCAGTGGAATTGATAGCTACATAACCAGCAGTCTCACCGCCAGCCAGAATAAGAGACTATGCCAGGTAAGACATGCAAGCATCATGCGCACCTATTCAACCACTCTATTTTTAGAAATTTCTTTTATGGGTACCAGAGACATGATATAAATACAGGCGTTACTCTGTTGATACTGTGTTGTCTTTTTAAAACTGTGTTTGATTTATGCAGTAAGATCCAAATGTATGTCATTTACAGGCAGATTTACCTCTGCCTCCTTTTTCTTTTTTTTTAATATTTGGGAAACATCATTATTCATGCAGCAGCTTGACCAATGCAAAGCATAGGAATTAAGGTAAACCCTTACGTAGTTTGACATTTCTCAGTTTAAAAAAATGGTATAATGAATAAACAGAGAGAGTCTGTGTGCCACACAAATGCTGTATGTTCCATGGGTTTATAATTGCCGTCAGAATCTGTGGTGAATATTACAAAATCAGGTGTGCAATACTGAAAGCAGTCCATCCTTAGATGACTAGAAATGGAGATTGTAAACGTTGAGGGCTGTTTCTGACCACAATAATAGTATTGTTTTGAACCTGCTATTACTAAAAGTCAGTGCTTGCCGAGCATGCTACTTATTGAACATAGTATTGTTTTTCATTAATTGCATGCTGAATTGTTTTTTCTGTCATGGAAAATATTACAGGGTCTTTCTGTTAGAAAACAGAAATGTTTTATTGAAACTACACTTTTTACATTTAATATTGCCTGACATAATGCTTACAGAATAATTATATTTTCAGAGCAAGAAGTGACTTAATAGTTCAGAGTGTTACTAGGATTTTATTCTAAGCCTGATATTGCTCTCCCAGCACCTAATCTTTAAAGAATTTAATTTCTGGCTGTCACAGGCATTTTTTGATTTTTCAAAGTTAGAGGTTAATTGGTTGTAGTCTTTTAGAGAAGAGAGTCTGGGGAGGAAAAAAGGAATGCTTTTCAATTTTTGGTAAAGTTGAAGTTTTTTTAATGTTGTACCTCTGCAGAGTTTTTCTCAGTTCATATTACTGTTGCCTGCAGTGAGGATAGAGGTTCATCGGACTGCTGCTTAAAAGGCTGATGGGTCAACTTGAATTCTTGACCTTGAAAACTTTAAAATGTCCCTATGAAATATTGGGAATAGTAGTTAGCTTTATATATACAGCGTATGAACACTCATCCTGACCTAAGCACTCATGCAAATGAAAAGCTTATCACCCCTTTTTAGTGTAGCTACAGCCTAGAAAATATGGACAGACCGGTAGGGATGAAAGTCGTGTCAGTGACTCCTTTAGAAACGGGTTTGACCGGTGCTCTGGACCAGCAGCAGAGCTCCCGCTGGAGAAACATCCAGCCAGAGCCCCCTGAGAGGTGACGCACTGTGGGGTCTCGGCACACACCTGCCCTGTGAAACCTTCTTGTTCTTAGCTGCCGCCTCCGATCTCTTGTATGCGCCCAGTCGCCATCATAAGCGTTACACGCAGACCCAAGAATCCCATCCTGTGTCCCCTCCGCTGCAAGTCACCCTCTGGTCATCTGACTGTTTTCAGAGAAATAGGACAGGCCGGTTGTCTCTGTGGTGCAGGGTTAAATATCAACACAACTATTTTTATTTTCACCATGATCCAGAGAACTACATTTACTTTAACCACTTCCACGTGCAAACTGGGAACTATGCTATTAATTCAGATGTAAACACCTGTCCTGCAGAAGGAGTCCAGGTGTTCCTTCTGTGTCTGTCCAGGACAGTTTCTGTTAAGAAATTTGTTTTCTTTTAAACCTCATTAAAGTTGTCTGGTTCAGTTTGGCAGAAGATGTATACTGGTGGTAGGTAGCAGCTGAGGAATTTGATCTGCTTTAGATTTTCTTCAGGAAGTAACAAAAGTGTAAACATCACATGTGGTGCAAGGATACTTGCAAGCTTAACTGGATAAAGATACAGTAATCAGGATCAGCTAGATTAAGGATGGCATAAAAGTTTGTGATAAAAGATGAGATCATTACGTCTGTGGTGTCCTGAACCACACTTAGTAACAAAACCCAACGAGTGTTGTTTTTTTCTTACTTTTTAAAATCATCTCACAATAATGAGTTGCTCATAAGGTAAAAAGTGTAAGACCAATCCACAAGAAACCTATTTCATTCCACTGATGGTATGATCTAATAGGCAAGATAAGCTGCAAGCTTTCAGCTTTATTTTTAGTTACATTAAGTCACAGGGCTACTGCCACCCTTCTTGGAGGCAGTAGCAGCCCATAGAGTCCTGAGCGAGGCAAAGCAGCAGAGGGACAGATTGCAGCTGTGGGAGAGGTGTGGTGGCAATAAACTGGCCAGAAAATGGTCATTTTGGAAATGGATCTGGAAAACACAAAGATGATGGAAGCACTCTTGCATACTTTGTTCTTACACTTTTAGACCCCATGTGACACCTGAGGATTTTGTGAGAAATAAACAACACATAAGGCATGCTATATACACCTTTACTGTGCCATTTCATCTTCCAGTGCAATATAAAGATAGCTCTTCTTAACTAATCTCTGTCATACATATTAGTAGTATGTGATTGAAAATTTCCGTATTTAATGTATTTATTGCATAGAACATTCCTTATAATGATGTGGGCCATTCAGTCCCACAATGCCAAACTGGTACTCCTAATTTTTATAATATTCTTACCGGTCATAAGGGATTGTATTAACTGAACAAAAAGGCCAATTTCAAATCTTCCCTCCAGGCAATGCCCACAACTGCACAGAGGTCATTCAAAGAAGCATGTGGGCCCCTATTTCCATAGTTAAAGTAAAATAATCCTCTTCTTTGTGAAACCATTTTTAAAAATCTCTTACAATATTTCAGATTGAATTATAGCTAAATCTTTTAGGGATAATTGCTTCCTAAGGGCATATACATTTGCACTCTTAGTACATTTTCATAAAATAAGATCTGCAGAGTGCTTTGCAGTTCTAACGTGTCAGGGTCTATACGTAAGATTATTCATTTGTGCTTGGCCTTCATAATTAACATTTGGTCTCTACTGATTCTGCTAAATGTATTCCCACAATACACTGAAATAGCTGATTCAATTAAACATAGAAAAGTTGAAGAATTGTTATTTTTCATTAGTATTCAAATATTGTTGTGGATCATTTTATTGTTGTTAGCTTTGTAGTGTGTAGTTTTGAAACACAGAGTTTTAACTAATACATTTACCTAAAGAAAAATAAAGATTTTGCCAGTGTAAATGTCCTCTTTACTGACTTGAAGAAGAATAGGCAATAAGTCTTGTGAAACAAACAGCGATGTGAAAATTCATGGAAAATGTGTAACTGGATTTGAATGAAACATAGGGATAAATGACTTTTTTTTTTTCCACAGGCCTGATTTATTTTTTAATTAGGTGGTACATTCTTCTTAAAGCAGCTATTAATCTGCTTTAAAGACCAGAGTGACATACTAATTTTACTTCCAAGCCAAACTTTCAAAATGGAGAGGAGGGCACTTTCACGATGATACACAAATCAGGTGCCCTTTAGTGACTAAATGAGTTTGCTCCATCCAAGTGTGATGTCATTAGAACTTGTAAAGATTATTAATCACCTTCAGAGCTGTTAAGATTTAATATTTGGTTATGATTGGCTTGTTTTGTTATGGTTTTTTGACTAATCAGTCTTATTAGTTGTGGTTTTCTGTAGAATTTATCCTACATGCTTCCATGGTTTTATTAAGAATATCATAAATTTAGAGTCAGAGGCAAGACAGTGACCTGAAGGAGCTGTCAGAAATGTGTCTACAGTACTGTTATGAAGCAATTCTAGTTGATGTCACCTGCTTTCTGCTGACACATAAGAATTGTGTCAGTGCAGGAAATCAGCATGCATAGCAGTTTGGTAGTTGTTCCAGTGATGATGCCTGTGAAAAAACCACTCTAGAAGACTTAATTTAAGTACTCCCTGATGCCTCTCATAAATTGTATTACGCTCTGTTTTGATTCCCAGAATTTCCCAGATTCTTAGAGTAGAAACCATTTTTCCATATCTGCTTGACAATGCGAACCACAAAAACAAATCGAGCTGACTACTCAATGTGTCATCCATGAAGATCACAATCCCAGGAGAATTTGATGTCATAAGAGCTTAAAAAGATTAAGAAAATATTTAACATGAAGTTTAGAACATTTACTACTGCTGAAAAACATGGAATATTCATGCTGTTTAGGTGTATAATATTGACTATGGAATAAATTGCTTCTTTCAGAAGATAGTAACTGTGGCCCTTATCTGCAAAAACTAAGTAATTCTAACAGCATTTTTATGTTTAGAGCTTCAGAGCTTCATTTTAATGAGTTTAGAGCTGTTTCATGGCTATAAAGCCTCTGATCTGTTTCTGACAGAGCCACACACTTTTGAAATGCTCTGTAATCCAGGGAAACTTGCCAGAACCAGTGGTGGGAAACTGAGAGATCCCAGTCTCATCTCTTCTATTCAAATTCCACTTCAGCATGCAGTTTTCATATTTTATTATAGTTATTAATTGCACCCTAGAAAACTCTTAGAGAAAAGCTCTTCAGTACTTTCAAAACCATTTTACATGAGGCAACAGAGATCGGGTTGATTTAGTAGAAACCTAGAACGTAAGTTTTGAACGTGGTGAGGCCCAGCCACATCGAGAACACCACTTTGCCAACTTCAGCCATTTCAACTGTTGCACTGTTGTTAACTGCAGTGCTGTGTGAGTGATAGAAACCAGCTGCTGATTACCAGTATTTTATAGCTAACAGATAAATAGCTGTGCTATCCAGTGGTGAAGTGGGTGCTACACCTTCCTGCAGTTTCTAGCTGCAAAGTAACTATACATTACTCTGCAAAGAGTTTAAAACTTGCTATTGCTTTACTTGTTGGTATGGTGTTACTGCTTGGTAAAAGGTGCTTTAAAATATTGTGCTTACTTCAGAGTGGTTGGGTTTTCTCAATGAAGCAACTCAGCAGTATTCATATGTTGGACAGTCCACCTATTTCTCTCACATTTTGCTGTGAATTCCTCTGGCCAGTATAAACTGTTCCCTCTGTATCTAACAGAATATCAACCTGTGAAAGCTCAGCTTGAGAGCTCAGTGGACTTAACCCAGTGGACTTAACCCTAAAGCAATCATGCTTTTCATTTTGGATGTCACGTGCTGCTACCTATAAAAGGGACTGCTATCACATTTGCAAGTGAATTTATAGGTGTGTTTAAAGACTGGGATGCCAGCTTTCTATTGGAAGTAGAAGGGAAGGAGAAGTAGATTTCAGATCTGCTGCTCAGTGTGAGAAGATACACTGTGCCCTTGCATTTACTTACGATCTATATCTATTTTTCTGAAACTATATGAATGTTTCAGGAGCAATGGGAATAGTTAGCAGGCTTCTTGGAGGTTATCTCCAGCAAATAATACATTGCTACAACTAATCCTGAAGGGTTCTTCATGCTATTCTTCCAATAACTTACACAAGGATAAAATACTAGAGGATTTATCGAAGTAAGCTGCAATCTCTAACTTTGTGCATGAGCCGTTTCAGTAGTTCAGTTTCTTCTCCTAAGAAGGCTGCTGCTTCTCTTCTTCTGCTTTCAGAAGAGTTGTCCGGTTCTGGTTATAGAAAGCCACGATGAGCTCATTTCACTCTCCCGGAGCTACCCTAAAGCAGTTATGTGCCCTCATTTAAATGCCTGGGCAATGTGAGAGAAAAATTTGCTACCCTGTTAGTAAAACTTGTTATAAAGCACATGAGATCACTATTAATTTTTAGAGTGAAAGTGTGCTGAGATTTGAATGGTTAAATTGCTTTTAAGTACATGGTGGAGGTGGAAATAAAAGACCTAGTAAAACTCGGAATATACTGCTGACAATCTGGATGTGGGTAAGAATGCACAAACATTTTTCTTCAGTTGCTGCTTCCTAGACACTTTGTCAGACAAAATAGATAACAGTTGCAATCTTAATTGCATTGAACAGAGCCTTTGCTCTTAATCACAAGTTCTTAAAGCATATCGCTAAGGTTAGACCCAAGTCTGTTCAGCACTTACCCATGCTAGAAACATGATTAGTCACTTTATGGCTGGTGTTATTAAATAGTACTGTATACCTCAGAGGATTTCAGTGTAAAGCGGTGCATCATCCCATAAATGAACACTGAAATGAGGCTGTGTACAACCCTGCAGAAATAATTCTGTCCATGTTCCACTTCAATATTAATTTTCTGCATTCTTTTCTGCTTAAGTTGCAGTGTCTCCAAAAGCTATTGCTACAGACTTCTGACAACCTGCCCAGTTATCTGTATGTATGGAGAGGGAGAAAATAACTCAAAATCCTACAGTGACCAACGTTCCCCCTCAGT